GATAGGGCTATTTTTATTTTGAAAACAATGATCATCTCTTTAACGTTTTCCGTCTTGGTCATTGATGGAAGGGAGGTATTTATTGAATTTTTCAAAAAATAGAGGGGAGGTTTTTGCAAAAGTGAGACTAAAGGAGAGGTTTTTATGATTGTTAGATACTTTAGGGGAGGTTTTTGTATTTTACCCTTAAAAAAGTATAAAAAACAAAAAATGAAAAGTAAAGAATTTTGTTGAAAACATTTGGGAATATTTCTAATGTTATATATTCATCATATTAAATAAAAATAATTATTAAAATAACAATGTTTTTACTTATGACATAAATGAAATAAAAATTTAATAATAATAATAATAATAATAATTGTAATTGTAATTTAAAATTTTCATATGCAATGCACATACATATTTACTACAAGTATTTAAATTTATTTTTAATCATATTATTACTTTTGTAAATTTTTTTTTCTATTTTAACTATATTATATCTAAAATTCAAGTTATTAATATAAATAAATTTTTCTTACGTGCCGCACGTGCTTAATTCCTAATCTAATTTAAAATTATCCAATACTTGAAAATCAGCAAACCAGAGTCAGCTCCGTTGTTAATATTTTTCAATGTTGGCGTCAAAGCTCAACGGATTTTTTATTTTTTTTTTCTTTTTTTACCTTTCTTTTCATGTTTCTTGCCTTTTCTTTATCTGTTATTGTTATCCCCCTCAGGGTGAGAGCTGATTCAAGGGAAAAGGTGGTGGTAACAAGTGAAGTGATGGAGAGAAGCGGTAAATGGATTCAAGCCCGAACTCTGGTGGTAATCAGAGTTTCACGCATTTTTTTTTTTATGAATTATGATCCAATAACAGTTTTTATCTACCACCACAAATCGAACTAAATGTGTATGTTCTCCTGTTTCTTTCACTAGCAATCAGGATTATCTCCGCCAGTATATCTGTTATTCATTATTTCAATGAATGTACTTATTAACTTGGTCTGGCTTTCTTCTGGTGAAGAACTGACAGATCGAGCTGAATACCATTAATGTTCTTGATACAGTAAATTAGATCTCACCACTAAAATAAACAAATAACTCCTTTTTCTCCGTGAAAACCTGAGAACCTTTCTAGCAGAAGGGAAAGAAGGGCGGTTGGCGGTTGCTAACCTAATCGTAATTTTGACCTACTGGTAGGCGTTGTGGTCTAGTAGAGGGAAAGAATCTATTTAAACAATGTTAACTGGCTTTGCAAAAAGGGTGTTTTTGAGAAGCAAATACCTTAATCAAATGCTTAAAGTCCATGAGTGTAGTTCCTTTATCGAGATTCTTATAGAAAAAGGAGGTGGGGTGGTGAGAAATAAGTGTTCTTTTCCTTGGAAGCTTCAGCAGAGAACAATCTGTGCTTCTTTGATGATTCTTTGTGCTTGTCACCTTTTTGGTAGCTTCAAGGAGGCTCTGCTTTGTGTGTTTCTTTTAGTAGAATATTTGGTGGCAATTTGAAGTTCGATTTTGTTCCTTTCTCGAGTGTTCAATCCTGTGATTAGTTCTCTTGGACTAAAATTAAAGCAATTAATTAATTCTTTGAGTGGACACTGTGGGATTGTTGTATACTTGTATTCAGTCTGGTCTTCCAAGCTAATAGTTATTGGAGACAGAAAGAAAAGCATAATTTTTTATTACAAAAAGACATTAAGTGTGCTTATTTTTAGGAAAGTGATATCTGTTCAGAGAACTGAGGGCAACGACTTCCATATTCTTCATGCTCAAGTATTATGAATTAAGGGTTTGGATTCAGCATGAAGCTCTAACAAGTTTTAGAGAAAAAGAAAATGATAATCATTCTATTATAAAGACCTTAATTGCCAATTTGTACGAAATTTAATGAGTCCAGAGGACTGAGGATAACATCCATATTCTTTATGCTTATGTATTAAGGGCTTGGATTGGGCATGAGGCCAATGCTCTGTTAATCATGGCACTCCTGTTCATACATCTGGAGTTGGTATTTTCCTTATCAATGGGACAAAGCTGGAGCTTCATCATCCTGTGCGGCTGTGCCTTGTGTTTCAGTTCGCGTTTTGGTATATTGAAGCCTAAGAAAACCACCTTAGTTGGCACATTTGTGCTAGTCTGATTAATGTATCCTCTGACGGTCTTCCATTTCCATTATTCACAAACACAAGCAGTATGAGCAAAATGCAAAGAGACAGATTTTAAACTCACTTTGCTAGATTCAGCTTAGGTCTGTCATTTGGCTCAAACCTCTGGCTGTAGAAATAAAGTTTGCTTACATAAAGTATGATGCACCCAAAAGTTTAAGCATTGACATAAGAATAACTTCAGGAACGAATTTATATGTCCAGGAAGCAATTTTCTGATGCTGGGATTGGAAAGACATGGGCCAGAGTGAAATTTTAGAAATCGATCTTCACAGTAAACAGTAGTCCAAGGGAAATGATATGCTGTCATGCTATGCTACTAGTCAGGTTGGAGTAATTGGACAGCAGAGATCTGGGTGATACCATTTGGGGTACTTTTGTTCGAATTCTATGAGTTATTTTTTCTTGCGTAGGGAAATTTCCAATGTTGTTAGTCATTATCTCATAGGCATTTCTATGTTGCATATATTTGTAGTGCACATTCATAGTTTTGTCAGATCTTCTGAAGAAAAGGATATCAACTAGGAAAGAGCCAATATACACTTTAATAATATAGAGAGAATCCTTTTTTATCCTGCTAAAGCTGATTTTATCATTACACAAGAACAGAGATAACAAGATGTTCACATTATGCAATGTAAACAATCCTGATGATCAACTACAAATTTAAACCCATAACCATATACCAGAATAATCTAGCATGCCACCTGATCAGGCAGACACATTACAAAACCAAGAACCCACTTATCAAAGCTTCTAGAGACAAGATATAGACCAGGGAAAAACCAGTACCATTAAAGAAGTTACAACATAAAACATGGGGGACAGCCTCCAAGAGAGCTAGTTTGTTTATTACACAGGAATGTAGGTTATATACTGTTCAATACTTAGCTAATAAATAGCTCCAAGTGCAATCGTTAAAAGTGATTGTCACAGGAAGATCTTCTACTTGAGATACTAGGAGGGGTGGTACTTGGGATTCTCTTCTCCAAGAAAAATTGTTAAAAAGCGACATCTCAGGGGTGGTACTAGCCTTTTTTCTAGTGGCAGTTTTTACATCACAACCATCAAGTTGTCCTCTTGCAACCACAGTCCGCTTGACTCCCCCAAAGACCCATCTCCACTTCTGCAAATTGGGGCTAGGTTCCAAGCTTCTTGCCCTGCATTTAAAGAAAAAATGAGCTTCAAAGTTCCTTCCTAAGTTCTAAGTACACCCACTAGAAAATGTTTAGTATAGTCTCAAACCATTGATGAATGGGTTTGGATCTCTTAGTAAGTCCATCTGCTCAAGATTCTGGTATTCCATGTCTTCATCTTCATAGAAGCTCATGTAGTTCATGGGTCCTGTGTAAGGTGACATACAGCTAATTGCATCAAAATTATCTGTTGGCTCAACATCCATGAGGTTGCAATAAGATGAAGTGGGAGAGATTTCTGCTGAACCACAATGTTGCTGTGGAGTTACTGAATTTTGAAACTCATTCTGCAGAAAACATTCAGATGCAGCATCTTGTCCTTGCGAGTAATCCTGTAGGAAGAGTCAGAGAAGCTTAATAAAAATAATAAACATAAAAATCCGAAAGTGGGAAAATTATCATAAATATCTTTCTTTAGATTTGAATGTAAATCCAGTAATTTGGTCGTCATTGTTGTTTATTTTAAGAACTTTAGTACCTTTGAAGAATCAAGAATAAGATCAGATGTGATCCAGAGGTCCGTGTGGTTGTTCCTGGTTAAAGCTGGCTCAAAGTCTGAAATTCTTGTAATTTCATATGGGGAAGTAACAGAGCTTGAAGAATTACTTCCATTATATAGCCTAGCAGTTTGAGATGAACCTTTGTGGCAGTTGCTTGAGAGCTCACTTGAGAAACTTGTTGGCATGATTTTCCCATTGGCAGAAGTTTTTCCTACCCTCTTACCTCTGGGTTCTTGGAAATCACCCATCTTCTGTCCCTGGTCATTCTTCTTAACTACGTGGCACAGAGCAAAAGCTTTCTGGAATAAGCAAATATTATGTCAATATTTGACAAATTAGAAAATTAAGTATTAAATGTAGAATTTATTTTTGTTCCACTATATGAAAATTTAAAATATACCTGAAAATTAGATGATCCTTGAGAAGGATCATCACAGAGTCGATATTCATGCATCACCCAGTCGGTCCGATCTCCTAGTGGGGCCCGTCCAAGATAGAAGACTAGGGTCTTCCGAAGCCCAGTCATAGAAGACTGACATACTATTTTCCGGTCTTTTCCAGTTGCTTTCCAATATCCAGATCTTGTGGCTCTATTTGTGCGTGAGCCATTTGGATACTTCCGGTCCCTGGGACAGAAGAAGAACCACTCCATATCACGTTTTGGGAGGAATGACTTGTCTGCAACACCATAAAGAAAATTCAGGTTTCATGTTGATAAAGACCCCAACAGTGAAGTGAAAATTGAAAATACGCCAGAGGAGGTGTTGTGGTTGCCTTTTTATTTTCATTGTATTATCTTGATAGAAAAAGGAAAATACTCTAATGTGAAATGACTTTTTTAAAAGAAAAAGGTGAGGTGCCTTAAAAATAGAACTCTTCAACTGGTTTAGTTTTAGTTTCTGTTGAGAACAAAATTCACAAATAGAACCTTTCTAGCACCACTGAGTTTCCCACTCACGGCACTTCAAGACAAGTAAGTTTTGATTGAGTACCACCTAAACAATTCAGGCTGTGCGGGAATTTCTGTTTTTGAGAGTAAATATTGGTTCCATAAGGAGCAGTCCTTTGACTGCCAGAAAACTTAATGTATCAACTTTGACTAAACTATTCTTAGGTCATGGATGAATCCATTCAAAGTTATGATTCATCCAACCATTAATCATCCCAGAGCAGTCCGGTGGCTTCAGTCTATAAAAGTTCATCTCCTATGTTCTTTAATTGCCAAAAGATCACAATGGTGAAGTTTTCTCCTGACAATTTCCTGAAATTTGACAGGATACTGATATGGAGAATCCAAGCTTCTACTTTTGATGGGAAAGAAAGTGGTTGCTAAGCTAGTGGATGAAGACGGACCTGACAACACACTGATTTTAACACAACTAAACGAGCAGGTATTTTCAATCCAAGCCAGCATAACATTAAAAAGGATTAATAAGAGTGGAGAGCCCTTATACTATTATATCTTTTGAGCTTCCAAAAGGTTTAAAGAGTACCTGGTAATTCCCATGGATCAAACTTGTACAAATCAATCACCGGGATTACTTCAAGCTCAATCTTCAACCCCTCCATCTTCCTCTTCAAGTAATACCCCACTAACTCTTCATCGGTGGGGTGGAACCTAAAGCCTGGTGGCAGCGATGCTCCTGTCATTTTCTGAACCCCCTGACTATCTGATCTGAATCTAAAAAAAATGGCAAAAAGAACAAAGATGAACACAGCTAGAAGAACCAGATGATTGAAATCTTCACCCAACTACCCAGGTATTTCTATTGAAGATTTGGAAGATCCAAAAATAAAAGCTTTTGTCAACACAGAATTTCTCATCAAGAATGGAGTAGAACTTCCGGAGAATGCACCCTTTGTGCAACAGGATCATTCTTCCTAAATTCAACTCCCCTCCGACAATGAGAAGCTTTTTCCCACCCTCGCCACCCAAATAATCAACTCTTAAAAGAAAAATACAAAATTTTTAAGGAGAGCAGAAGCCCAAAGCAATTGCAAAAACACAATCCTATACAATAAGTCTAAATCAGAACTCTAAGAAAAGGAACAGTTAGTACTTCCAAAGATGGAATTGCTTCCGATTCCCAGAAACTAAAAGCCTAGAACCATTCAAAATGCTATAATATTTGTAATTTTGAATGGCTGACTCTCAAAAACTGAGTCACTAAGAGGTCTTGAAGAAGGACCGTTAATGTGTAATTATGAAGAACAATTGGGTAGAGCAGAAATGAGGGATTGGTGAGAGTTATATAGGATTTGGGGGGTGAAGCAGTACAAAAACTAAAACACCGAAAGTTAAGTTTCACTGTCTGAAGCCAACCAAAATTCCAAAGTAAAGGCCCACAAGGCCCCAAAAGCTCTTCACCAAAGTTCTACACCCTGCCATATAATTAAGTACCGCCAATGAAGGATTACCTTTTCATTTTCGTTGTCCCGCTGTTGTAAGCTCTCCCCACATCATTATGAGTCAGACAAAACATTTTGTACTTTATTTAGTCTTCTTTGGCCCATAGTCTTTGTTCAATAAAGGCATTTTGCATTGTTCAAATATTATATTTGAGTGCCACGGATTTTGCATCTCTCTAAATGTGAATCCAAGGTTTTTAGTCCAAGGAAATTTCAGCTTTCTATTAAACAAAGTTGTTGGACATCTTGATGATATTAAAGCTCAAAACCCAATTATGTGTAATATCAATTCAGCAAATTCCTATGCTACAATTTGGAGGTGGCTAAACAAATCTATTCACACTTCTTTAACTGATGGTAGGTTTGGAATTAGAAAGTCTGCTCCTAAAAAGATAGTTTGAACAATCAAAATTCCGAGCTAGTGCTCAATTATGTGATCTTCAAACATATCTAAGATTCAAAATGTTTAGTTCATTTAGCTTGACAAGCCTGAGCTGAGGCAAAGTGAGATCGACAAATGGGAAAGATGTCATTGCTATATATCAATCTGAATTCGATATAAGTACGATTGATAAGATTTCAACTCAAATCCGATCTACTTACTGTCCTAGTGGATGTAGATGTTCTCAACCATATACTTAAGTACATACTGCAACTAGGACATGCAGGCTCCTTCCTGCACAAAAGGAAGTTGGATTAGAATGCCGCCCCATAACTGGTTTGTAGAGATGAGAAGAAAATTACTTTACTGAGTCTAGTTAGTTCTTCCAGGAGTGCTTCAACCGTCAAGGTAGGTAACTCTTAATAAATAAGAATCCAAGTACATAAACCAAAAAGGTGGAAGACTGGAAGTGATATAAATAAAGGGTAATCAAGTGACAGCCAAAGGATGAATAATAGCATTACAAGCTACGAGCCGCTGCGCCCATGACTCTGTAAGAACAAAAAGGCAAATTGTGCTTTTGTCTCTTTTAAGCTTTAAGCCTCAACCTCAATGGAGTGGTTGCTGCGACTGCGACTGCGACGGCTCTTTTTGGAGTTAGGAGAGGAATAGTTAGTTAAGCTTATTAGAGAGATCTAATTATTGTAAGCTAAGGACTAAGGTAGTAGGTATGAAACCAGATTGTAGAAAAGATTAAAAGTAAAAGATGAGATATCAATTTTTGATTTTGGAATCACAAATCAAAATGGAAAAAAAAAGGAAAGAAAGAAATTGGGTTGGTGTTTTCTGTGATGCATGGATTGGCCACCTTATCCTTGTCGCTGTTAAGTCCTTGCTTTCCGCCCCTTTGTCAATGCTGTGCCATCTGTCTTCCATGACTGAGAAGCCATGGGACTCAGATGGCTCAATGATCCATAATACTTAGAATTAAATGAGAATGACTGAACCATTTAACAAATTAAAGCCACATAAAGCCAACAGCCACCTTCACCTCCCTCCTCTTCTCTTCAATAGAGGCTATCCCTCCTTCAATTATTACCTAGCTTACTACTTCCAGACATGAAAAACGTTTAAAGCACCTACAACATACCAGCCACACACTAGTCTCTGTAAACATCTCAGTTTGGTTTTCAGATTTTTGCTGGTTTGATTGATTGATTGATTGATTCATTCATTCATGGGTTCTTCTTCAGTCTGTGATTTCGTTCTCTAATTGAGCTATCTTGCTGTGTTGATGTTTAGAAAAGCCAAGTGGAGAATTAATGTAATGGTAATGCTAGCATGGTTTTAACTTATAATAACAAAAGGGAACCGACGGTCCCGAGTAGAACTACTTTTTATGGAGATTCGGTTTGTGTGTAGATTAGATGGAGCTCTACAGCTAGGATTGTAGCCAGCAAAGATTAAGAAGATTCTGATCTAACAATATGGTTTATAGTATTTTGGTTGCATTCTGAGGCAAGCTTACTAATCCGTGTGGAATCCAATATCCAACAGTTTCCCTGGGTCTGTATGGGTTCAAAGAAAAGCTTTGAACAAAGATGCAACTTTTGTCGGCAGGCAAAAGGTAGAATCAATTGGAGGCTGTAGAATATATAAAACTACATGTATACGCAAATGCTTACTCAAGGGGTAAGGTACTAAGCTAGTAGAAAAATTGCATGGTCCCGGTACAACTTCTGCTTCTAATACTGGGCCAATCATGATACACCACACACGCAGGGCCCACCCCATCAGGCTGATGTGGCCCCTGTACAATCACTTTGAATAAAGTGTGCAAAAATAGCACTCAAAGGGTGCTCTAATTGCACCTTAGCTGGTCTATTAAGGCATAATTTAATAGGACCCAACTTTGTAAATTTAATAACGGCCACTATAACAATAAAAAATTAAGGCTGAAATTCCCAGTACCATCGTTGGACGTCTGATAGTTCAGATTATCATCCATCGCATTTTCGTTAAAACAAAGAAAGACTAGCTGTTAGTGAGAAATTCTCATAGGGGTTTCCCTCTCCCCCACTGAAATACATGACGTCGATTTGAGAATTCCTCACTAACGAACGGCCAATCCACCACGTCCAAGGGTAAAAATATAATTATACATATTTTTCGTTTTGATCATTGACGGAGGCTTTTGCTAAAGTGAAAGGGGGGGGTTATGATTATCAGAAACTTGAGGGGAAGGTTTCCACCTTTCAATGGTCCTTTATTCTTTCCACCTATCAATTGTAAAATAAAATATTGTAGCAGTTTCTACTGACAGGTACAATGTTCACATCCTAATTTTTGATAAACAAGATACATTCATCACTATTTTCTTTGTTTTTTCACCTGGGATATGGCTCATTTTCTAAAAATAAGATGTTGCTAATACGAGTGAGAGTCTTCATACTGAGAAAGAGTGCTTGCACCTTGTGAAATGGCAAGTTGTACTTCGCGTTACTCATGGTGGCACCCGGCACTAACCAACATTCAACTTTTCATCAATCATTGCATGGGGTTCAAATTCATCAATACCCAATTACATTGAGTTGCTTCTTGCAACTCACAACATGGTCTATTTATCCATCTGAATTAATGTGGGTTGGTATGACGACAGAGAGAGTGTGTGTAATAAAGCCTTCCTTTTTGATCCCAAGTCTCCGCTATAGTTACCAAGAGACCTTATCAACCCGCTGATACCTTGCGAGAGTGTATAAAACCTTGCATATAATATTTTTAAATCTTTGTGTTTGCGATGTACACATTTGTATTTGTATTCTTCTCAAATTGAGCATCAATAATACCTCCTAAGTTGTTGGAATTTATACTACCTAGGTACAATCAATTTAGAGGCCTTTTGATAACAAGTCAAGCGATTGGACATTTGAAATTAATGGTTCACGAGCGGAGGGGGCCCTGCGATGTAGGGGCTCACTCATAAACTATCAAACTCGAGCTTGACTCAAATTAGAAACTTGAGCTCGGCTCGAGTGGAAAGTTTAGAAGTTCGAGYTTGGCTATCTTTGATTTCAGGTCTCTCAAGCAGCCAAGGTCTCCCTCAATTGTCAATGTGCCAAACTGAGGTCTCCCTCAACTGCTGAAGTATCGAGCTGAGGTTTCCCTAGCAGGCGAGGTGTAGAGCTAAGGTCTCCCTTAGTTGACAAGGTGCCGAGCTGAGGTCTCCCTTAATTGTCAAGGTGCTAAGTCGAGTTCTCCCTTAGTGGTCGATGTGCTATCTAGCTCGAGCTCGATTCGAATTAGAGACTTGAGCTTGAGCTCAGAAGTTCGAGCCGAGTCTTAAGAACCTTTGATTGCAGGTCCCCTAGCAGCCAAGATGCCGAGTTGAGGTCTCCCTCAGTTAGAGAGAGAGTGGCATTCTTGTAGTTTCTAAGGAGAGAGAGAGAGAGAGAGAGAGAGAGAGAGACTTGGTAGGAGAGTGGCATTCTTGTAATTTGAAAAAAAACAAGAGAGAGTTGGTGGGAAAGATTGGCATTCTTGTAATTAAATGAAAAAAAGCAAAAGAGAGAGAGTTGGTAGAGAGTGGCACTATTGTAATTTCTAAGAAAAAAGGCAAAAAATACTATTAGATTCCATTTCCCTCATCCTCAGGCATTCTTAAGCACATATTTCAGCTTAATATATTTATATAGAACCGAGGTGTTGAGCCGAGGTCTCCCTCAGTGGTCGAGGTGCCGTCTAGTTCGAGCTCGATTCGAATTAAAAACTTGAGCTTGAGCTCAAAAGTTCAAGCTCGGCTCAGCTCAAACTCGAGAACCTTTGATTATAGGTCCCCTAGCAGCCGAGATACCGAGTTGAGGTCTCCCTCAATTAGAGAGAGAGATGGCATTCTTGTAATTTGTAAGAGAGAGAGAGACTTGTTAGGAGAGTGGCATTCTTGTAATTTGAAAGAAAACAAAGCAAGAGAGAGAGAGAGTTGGTAGGAGAGAGTGACATTCTGTCACGTTCTGGGTTGATGGCATGCTCTCGACCCCTTCCTCGCCCCCTACCTTGACCTCGAGCTATGTTGCTAAGGCAAAGTAAGAGTAAAATCAAAGAATTTGGGAAACAGAA